CCCCTCCTGCCGTGCCCAGGCCACGCGGGGGTGGGCGGGGGTTCCTGCCTCAACCGCGCCCCCAGCCCCGGCCAAAGCTTCCCAGACACCTCCCCCGTCCATGTCCTTGGTCTGGTTGCTTGGACCCCCAGGGTCCTGCTCCAGAGATCCCATCATCACCATGTAGCCATGATCGAGGTTTCCTGAGTTCCTCTCTGTCACCTCCATTCAGGCCACCAAGCCCATCTGCAGAGCCTGGCAGTTCAGAGAGCAGGAGGAACAGGGATGGCTCACCCCCATCTTTCAAACCCAAATCCTAAACCAGGCTGAGCCCACTCCACCTCTCCAGTCACCTGGTGGAGGCTTTTTAAAAATATATTTTTTTATTGATTTCAGAGAGGAAGGGAGATATATTTTTATTGATTTCAGAGGGAGAAACATCGATGAGAATCATTGATTGGCTACCTCCTGCACACCCCGCTACTGGGGACTGAGCCTGCAACCCAGTACCCAGGCATGTGCCCTTGACCAGAATCGAACCTGGGACCCTTCAGTCCGCAGGCCAACGCTCTATCCACTGAGCCAAACCAGCCAGGGCACCTGGTGGAGACCTTTGCAGTCGGGCTAACCAAAGTCCACTGCTGGCCCCCTGGGAGCCCACAGGACAGTCACACCTCTTTGGACCCCTGTTTTTTCATCCAGAAAATGGAACAGGAGTCCATACCTTGGCATCTTCAGCAGATAAGTCGACAAGCAGGAGACGTCTGACAAGGGAAGAATGGGAAAGGCTGGCGATGGAGCCTGCAACTGATATTTGTGCCCTTGACTAGAATCGAACCCGTGACCCATCAGTCCACAGGGCGACGCTCTATCTACTGAGCAAAACCGTAGGGCATAGTTCTGTCTTTATGCATGCCACAGCTTCACCAGACTGAGCCTGTGGTTATGCTGTCACCAAGTGCTGAATGTTAAATACCAGTGGTGCCCAGCCAGGTCTTGCTTCTCTGGTTTGTTTCCCTCACCCAGGCCTGCTGCAGGGTCCAGAGCCAAGAGCTCTTGAACTGGAAGGTCCCCATCTAGATGGCTGCAGCTCCTCCCAGGGACCATAAGAGGCAAGAGGTGGGCAAACTAACCTTCGAATAAGACCCATCCCAGCTACACACCTCACTGTGTTGTCCCCTAAGCTTCTTCCTGCCCCCATTTCTCTGCCAGCCACACTTCCCAGCCTTTGCTTGGTTGCACCTGGAGTATCTATCCTTCTCTCATTGAAATTCTGTTCTTCCTTCAAGGCTCGTCTGACCCTGGGCCTCCACCTCCCACAAGATAAGATTTTCAGCCCTCTGTCCTCTAGGGGAACTCAGCTCATTCTGTTCTGTCTTGTGGGTCCTTTCCTCTGACCTGACTGCAGATGTCCATCCCAGGGCTGGCCCAATGACTCTGAGGAGGAAGGAACCTGCCTATTAGTGGTGGTTGGGGCAAGCCCAGGAGGCCCAGAACCTGTCTACCAGTGGTGCCCTGGGCCTTCAGACAAACTCTCCGGACATCTCTGGAGCAAGGGCTCAACCCAACTGGCTGGCTGGCTGGTTCTTTGGGAAACAGAGGGGCAGCCACTTCCTAAGCAGAGACCTAGTATCCTAAGCAGAGACCTAGTAGCTGGCCCAAGCGGAACGTGCTGCATGTACCCAGAGTGCCAGCATGCCTGGCCCAGCCCAGCGTCCTGTCTGGCAGAGGGGTCCTTTCCAGAAGTCTCCTCGGCCATTGGAGAACCCTCCTACTTTATAGGACCTCACAGATGGGGTGGGGCTGTCAAACCCAGCAGCACTTCCCCTGCACAGGGGATCGGGCAGGACACCACTGGCAGAGGGGACCTACTCCAAAAAGGCCAGCATTGGGTCAGCTCATTTGCACGCAGGGGCCACCTCTGTGAAAGCCACCACTGCCTCCTCAGAGCAGATCTGAGTTGAAGCTTTGTTTTCCTTCTATTCTTGTCTCTCTCTCAAGGTCAGAGCTGGAGCAGGGATAGGAACAAAGACATGTGTCCCCCATTCAATCTCTCTGCACCTGGAGGGGCTCATGGAGGGGAGGGCTGGGCAGCTCTGAGGCCTGGCCCCAGGCAAGGCAAGGGTAGAGGTACAGGAACAGCTGCCCGGCTGTTCATGGAGACCCCGGCTCAGCTGGAACCAGCTATGGGCACCCAAGAGGCCCTGTCCCCTCCCAGGGTTGGGGGCTGTCCCAGTCTCCATCCTCAACAGCCAAGAGGATCAGCTGGGATCAGGGGTCACTCTGCTGTAAGCTTCCTCTGAAGTCAAGAGTTGGACTTAAAAAAAAAAAAAAAAAAAGAGTTGGACTTCAGGCTCAGTGTAGGGACAAAGTTTAAGTTTTGGGTTTAATGCTCAGTCAGGGTCAAGGTCATCCAGGGTTCTCTGTCAGCCCCAGGACAGGGTCTTCGATGAGGGTCTTTCCTCATCTAACGGGTCTGCATTCTTGGGCTCCAGTGTATGGCTCAGACTCAGAAAGGATCTTGTCCCAGCCGGACCAGACCTGGCACCTAGCCTATGCTCAGCACCCACTGCTCATTGACCCCTTACCCATCACTCACCACCCACTTACCCAGTCCAGCACCCACTGAGCCTTCACCCACCACCCAGTACTTATTACCCATCATCTGCCATCTGGTCCACTGGACAAGTCCCCAGGGTGGGGATCAGTGTCCAGCATCCCTCAGCCTTCAAAGGCCACAGCACTGTGAAGAAGGCTAAAAATATACAGGGAACAATTCTCATTACAGAATAAATTAGACCAAATCTGCAGCCTGCTCTGGCTCCAGTGGTTTTCAGATGCCCCAGCTCAGTCAGGTAGATTTCTGGCAGAGAAGAATGGTGGCTTCAGAAGGCAGGGAGCTCCACTGACCCTGGTCAGAGCAGGGCGAGGGCTTCTGCACCAGCCCAGCCCACCCTTGGGATGAAGAATTCCACCAGGCTGTGGGGGTGTGGCTTCTGTCATTGAAAATAAAAATGTATCCCATTCTCTTGCTGATAAATTAGACTTCCCACCCTCGTGTCCAGCCAGGCCCTTGAAATCTCAGCCAGGACCTAAGATTCCTGCAACTGCCAAGGCCAGCGACTGAACAGGCCCCACACCCCTGCTAGTTAACCTCCTTCCTTCCCACCCTCCCAGCCCTAGGCCTGAACAGACACACATCCTCCATGGTGATAACCCACCAGTTTGGGGCTAGACTTTTCTTGAGGGTAGAAACGTTCCAGATCTTCACTGTCCCATAAAAGTGCCCCCAGCTCCCCATGGCTACTGGGCACATGGAATGTGGCCAGTATGACGAGGAACAGGGCTTTTAATTTCTTACTTTGACTGTAAACAGCCACATATGGCTACTGTGCTAAGTAGCACAGGTCTGGGTGCACCTGCACAGCCACACCTGCCCAGAACTAGGACATGATGGGATGGAGGGAAGCTCATACTCCTCCAGGGAGTATGAGGGGCACTGAGCCACCAGAGAGGATGGGGAATCAGAACTGGGATGCTGGGAACCCCAGGAGGGCACAGCTACCTCACCTGATGACCCTAGGTGAGAGCAATGCGGCCCTGATGGATGCTGGGGCCATGTCCCAGGGAACCCACATTAGAGGCAGCAGAAGAACCACCATCTCCTGCCCTGGCCGATGTGGCTCAGTTGGTTGGGTGTCGTTCCATGTACGATTGCCGGTTTAATTCCCAGCCAGGGCACAGGTTTTACGTTCTGACCTGGCATACTGAAGGCAACTGATAGTTGTTTCTCTCTCTCCCCTTCCTCTCTAAAAACCAATAAAAACATATATATACACACACATAAAGAACTCCCAGTTCCTGGAAGACAACATGACTACCACCCACCACTGGTCTGAGGCAGCTAGCCACAAGCTGCTGCTTTAATGAGCCAGAGGCATCCAGCGTCCAGCTCCCACCTGTCCCCATTCCCAAGATAGAGAAGCCACACAGCGGTCACCTAAGAGTAGGAAACCCTAACCTGCCCACAGCAGAGGGGACAGATTTGCTGCATGTCCAGTGGGCATGTGGAGGGGGGCAGAAGTGGTGGGAGGGCCACAAGGATGCTGGGCTATGGGTTGTGCACCCTGATCTGGCACAGGCCCTGGCTTTGTTGCAGGCAGTATGTGTGCATGTGTGTCCTGTGTCTATCCCTTATGTGTGATAGTCTGTGTCACGTGCTGTGTCTGTGAGAGGTATGTGCTAGAAGCCCCTCCCGTCCTCATGTGCATACACAGGGGCCCTCAAAATGCCATGATCCAGGCCTTTCATCTCGTGCTGACAGGCCCCTCTCCCAGCTTTTAGCCACTGAGAACTTCCTGCTAATATTGCATTAACCTTGGAGGGGGCTGCCAATTACTCCACACTAATGCAGGGGGATGCAGTGAGGCTGACAGGCGCTGACAGGCACAGGGGCCTGGAAGCAAGGGGCACCCTTCCCCGCCCCACTGGGTGGGCAGGAGGCAGCCGGGCTGGAGGGTGTGCAGTGTGTTCTTGGCTCCAGATGGCAGATGCAGGGTCTCTCCTGACCTCATTAGAGTAATTAATGTGCCTTTTGAAGCTCAAGAATCGCTCAGAGCTGTGGGAGAGGGACACAGATCAGAGGGTGGGGGGACCCGCACAGTGTCTGTGCACCTGTTAAAAGCATGTCCCAGTGGGTCAGACAGGGAGAGAGATAGAGAGCAGAGAGATAGAAGGAAATAGAGGGAGACCAAGTGAAAGGCTGTGTAGATGGAGAGACACAAATAAGGAGGCAGGCAGGGGTTCAGAGGTGGAGAAGGCAGAGATGCAGAGACCACAGACAGACATAGGTGGAGAGGGGTGGAGGCAGATAGGGAGGGAACAGCCAGAGCCCGAGAGGCAGAGGGTGTGATGTCTGGGTCCTCCAGGGGACTCTGGCCTCACTTCCTCAAACTTCCCTGGAGGATCTGCTGGTGCCTCAGTGCAGGACCCTCCCAAAGAATGGTGGGGAAGTAGGGCAGGGAGCAGTCCAGGAGGGAAGACTTCCTGGAGGTGGCAACTGACACTGGAGGGGGAAGTGGAAGTGTGAGCAGAGTTGAGGGGATGGTTGGGGGGGTGAGGGGGGAGAGGCAGCCTGGGGACCAGCTCAGAGGATTGGAGATGGAGAGAGGAGTGACAAGCTGACTGGCAGAGATGACTCCTTTGCACCTGGCAACAGGCAGGGACCC